TCATACCACTTTGTCTGCCTTTCGTGCAGCATACATATCACCGGATTCCCCTTCCGCTATTTGGGTTAAATCTGTGTACAACGGTGTGGGATCACCCTTGTCCAAGATATCGGCTATATAAATCAATGCGTAAGTACATATAAACGGCTTTATCACAAGGCCACAAATTCTTTAACGATGGTACAAACCAAGATGTTGTATTTCCTTGGGTAATGGATTTTGCCTAATCTTGATTGGCGGAGCTTGAAGCTTTGGAATGTCTTTTGGTGGGGGAGGTATTCGATCCCATTGTATATTTGTTATGTTATTAGAGAAATTTTTTGCGCGATTATCCGTGTTAATATTATCTTGTGAAATAGGACCGAATCTGTCTTTCGAGGGAGACGCTGATCCCCTCCTTTCTGGTGGAAAACCAGGTGAACCCAATAGTCTTTGTGTATACTGTGATTCATTGGGTGTCTTTCTTGGCGGTATGTATCCATTACTACTCTCGTAGGGTAGACCGTTGTTGAAAGTTCGTACGTTAGGGAGTGGTGACGATGGCTGATCCCGTAACCTATCAGGTGAAACGCTCTTGTTTGTCGACGTTATCGGAGAACCATTGTTAAAAGTGCGTTCGTGAGGCAGCGGTGATGTTGGCCGACTTCGGGGTGACATACTCTTGTTTGTCAATGTGATCGGAGAACCGTTATTGAAAGTGCGTTCGTTCGGAAGTGGTGACGATGGTCGATCCCGTAATATATCAGGCGAAGCACTCTTGTTTCTCGGTGTAATCTGAGGACCATTATTAAAAGTTCGTTCATTCGGAAGCGGTGACGATGGCAGATCCCGTAGTATATCAGGCGAAGCACTCTTATTTCTCGGTGTAATCTGAGGACCATTATTGAAAGTGCGTTCGTTCGGAAGCGGTGACGATGGCCGATCTCGTAATATATCAGGCGAAGCACTCTTATTTCTCGGTGTAATCTGAGGACCGTTCGCTTCTCTAGAGAGACTGGGACTAGCCACCATAATTTTCCTCGGTGATTGAGAAGGTGCAGATATGTTTTGATGTGATGTCGATACTGATTGAAGAGTCATTTTCGGTGGAATTCGCCTAGCACTGTCATGTGCATTAGTAGAACTCGTATTTGGCGTGGGCTGGGATGGTGAGATTGCTTGTTTGAATGAAGTAGGAGATTGTGATTCTTTCGCCGAGTTTTGTGACGATGTTGATCCTTTTCGTGACCCGGCCTTACTGGAAGTGCCATTGGTCGGTTCGTTCAAATGAGTGAACGTTGATGTGGCCGAATTCTTTCGAAGGGATAAGTGTGTTGCGGATGTTTTGCGTGAGAATCCGGTTTCCGTTGGCGAATGTAATCGGGAACCGTCATTAGCAATCGAGCGGTCTTGCGTGCCAAGAGATATAGAGCGTTGATGTGCAGGATTTTGCAAGCGATTGGCTGCTGATTTAGAGCGAGAATCGTGTAGGCTATTTTGTTGTGTTAGCTTTCCCGGCACTCGCTTAAACTCTTCATTTCGCATTCCAGCAGATTTTAGGCTAGCTTTCATTTCCGGAGGTAAGCCCTAATGCATGCGTATGCGTGTACATATATTTCTAGTAAATCAAAAATCCTCGCCTCGGTGCTTGAATAACAAAGGATCAGCTTTAACTTAACATACCACGATACCATGCTCATTAACACTAACATGAACAACATGTTGTGTGTTGAACGGAGTACCAATGTTCTTTCCAGTCACTTCAGTTTTTTCTAAAACATGAATGCAAAAAGTCGTAATGCTCAATCGTAAGTCTCAAATACAAATTCACAGCCTAGAGCGAGTCAAGAAACCTTACCAGAAGACCCAAGGTGTGGTACGAGATTGGGATTAATGTACCGAGTGTTTACTATCTCATCACTCGGCACCTTATTTTGCCACACATCTGGCAAACCCTACATAAAACTTCCCTCTATGAGTAAATGTTAACGAGCTCAACTCACAAACTAGCGAAACCAGCCCTGCAATTCATAATGCTCCAG